CTGGAGAAACTGGCTGCTCATGGCTTGGACAGGCATACTCTTCACGGGGTAGAAAAGTGGCTGGATAGCTGGGCCCAAAGAGTGGTGGTGAATGGAGTTAACTCCAGCTGGCAGCCGGTCACAAGGGCTCAGTTCCCCAGGGCTCAGTATTGGGGCTGGTTCTGTTTAGTATCTTTATCAGTAACCTGGATGAGGGGATCAAGTGCAACTTCAGTAAGTTTGCAGACAACACCAAGTTGGTTGGGAGTGTTGATCTGCTGGAGGGTAGGAAGGCTCTACAGAGGGATCTGGACAGGCTGGATCAATGGGCCAAGGCCAACTGTATGAGGCTGAGCAAGGTGAACTGCTGGTCCTGCACTTGGGTCACAACAACCCCATGCAACGCTACAGCCTTGGGGAACAGGGGCTGGAAAGCTGCCCGGCGCAAAAGGACCTGGCGGTGTCCCTCGACAGCCGGCTCAACAGGAGCGGGCAGTGTGCCCACCTGGCCAAGGCGGCCAATGGCATCCTGGCTTCTGTCGGGAACAGCGTGGCCAGCAGGAGCAGGGAAGCGATCGTCCCCCTGTACTCGGCACTGGTGAGGACGCACCTCAAATACTGTGTCCGGTTTTGGGCCCCTCACTCCAGGAAAGACATTGAGGTGCTGCAGCGTGGCCAGGGAAGGGCAACGAAGCCGCTGAAGGCTCTGGAGAGCAAGTCTTATGAGGAGCCGCTGCTCAGGGAACTGGGATTGTTTCGTCTGGAGAAGACGAGGCCGAGCGGAGACCATAAGGTCGCTCTCCACAACCACCCGAACGGAGGCTGTAGCCAGGTGGCTGTTGGTCCCTTCTCCCAAGGAGGTAGCGCTAGGACGAGAGGAAACGGCCTCAAGCTGCGCTGCGGGAGATTTACCTTGGCTAGTACGAAAAATTTCTTCACGGAAAGAGAGCTCAAACATTGGAACAGGCTGCCCAGGGAAGTGGTTGAGTCCCCATCCCTGGAGGTATTTAAAAGCCATGTAGATGTGGTGCTTTGGGACATAGTTTAGTGGTGGACTTGGCAGTGCTAGGTTAATGGTTGAACTTGGTGATCTTAAAGGTCTTTTCCCACTTAAATTATTCTATGATTCTATGATTTGTGCTGCACTTCCCAAGTCAGCTTGAATGTTTTGTGCCCCTCCCTGCTAACTTTGGGTCATCTTAAATGTGCCTTGCCTATAGCAACCTCTGTTCCTTCTTGTAGGCATCTCCTTGGTTTTCAGTAATGGAAGAATTCTGCCTAGTAATAAGAGTAGTTTGGTGTGGCTAAACAGATCTTGTAAGCATATGAATGTGTCTACATGAGGGGTTTGCTGCTTAGGAAACAGATTAATGGACATTCAAAGCGTACTGGTTGACACGTGGCGCTTCTTTGTGGATGCCAAGTGTGGTTTTGCTGTTAGGCTGTGCACATGCCACTGAGAACTGCACTGAACTTCAGTAATGCAACTTAAGGCATGTGTGGAAAGTTGGGGAGCATAGTATGGAAAGAAGGAGTGAGAAGGCATTTGGGAATTTTTCCCTGGCCTCGTCAGGTTAATGGTTCTTAGGGGTATGAGTGAGTGTCAGTGTGGAGACTTCCTGCAAATCATTTGGCTGATGGAAATTTAAAGTAAACTAGTGAAGTGTGAATATTCTTTCTGGGTGCTATGTATATTTTTGCTGCTAATCTTAATTTACTTTAAATGCAAATGGAAAAGCCACCATAACTGACAAAACAAAAATGTCTCTCTATATAGGACTATAGGAAGAGTGTTTAATTTTACAATTTTTCTTCTTCAGACAAGCCGTAGGAATTTCTGAAATAAGTCTCCGAGCCAAAAAAAAGAGATCTCTTTAAAAAGAGTAGGCTTTAAAATTGAGTCGTTTAGTTTTGTCCAAGTGGGAAGCACTTTCAGTCTTGTGATGGAAAGCGTCTTGAGGGTTATTAGAGAAGGCTGCAGCTGGAGTAGTAGTTATAAAGCAGAAGAGAGAGTGCTGGGAAGGCAGATGGAAGCACAGGTAGGGGGAAGAAGTAGCAGACAAGGTGTGGGGCTGGAAGCAGGTTGTACAAAGTTGAGCTGTTGATTTGGCTTGTTAATCACAAAAATTAGTTTTTAATGGGTTTTTTTTTGGTAATTTGGTGTTACGTTAGTTACAAATCAACAGTCCCAGTAATAAATAAGTTACCAATGTGGAGTTACTAAAGATGTTAATGAGGAAGACGTATATGTATGGACATCCATAAAGCCTGCAGTAGGCTGGTAGATAAGAGTATGCACAGAGGGCAGGATGGAAATCCCTCTCTTTATTCCTCATTACCTAGTCCCATTTCTTCTTTAATCTACAAAGAAAAAAAACAAAATTTGCTCATTCTAGCTCCTTGGAAAATTAGTGTATTTCATCTGCAGTTCCATTAAAAGGAGATAACTGGGCAGCTGCTTGGAGAAACAAAACCAGTTTTGCATATCAAAATGTTTTCTGGAGACATCATGGAGACAGAAACTCTCCGTGGAGTTCTCAGTATTTACTAAGTATTTCCTCTTTAAGCCAGTGCTGGGAGAGGATCAGCATTTAAAATAAATATGCTATTTGTTTCCAAAATGTAGTTGCCCCCATATGTGCTCCGAAAATGCTCTAAAACCTGTTGTCCTGAATTGTTGCAGATGCCAGAGGAATCGCAATAGTCTGAATGAAAGGTGGTTTTAGGTGCACCATTGTGTAATCCTATAGAAAAGCTGGCTGGTTCTGTGGAGGTAAAATTTAGTGTTGTTGGTTGAAATAAAAAGAGGGTAAAAGGCAAATCTTCATGGTTCGTAACATTTAAGTGTAATTGTATTCCAAATATTTAAGCATTGGTTTTCCTGCATCCTAATTTTTATAGAAGTAATGTACAACTGAAAGGCAAAGAGAAGGGACAGGTGGGAGGAAACAAAATGACCAATCTTCATCCAAAAGGGGCTAAACTTGAACAGCATGATTGATATTTTCTTGCAGGCATGCTGAGCATTCAGTCTCTTACATTTTTGTAATGTACAAGTCAGTGGGAGATCCTGAACAACAAATCACAGCAGTTCTTATAAATGAATTATGTTGGAGATGGTCACTTCTCAAAGTCACTTATAAAAATGGTATTGTATTCTGGTAATTTACTGATACCTCTACTTTGATAGAGTTTTGTAAATTTCACAGAAAAACTTCCTTTGTATCTTAGTTATGAGCAGCCTTAAATGACTGAAACTGAAGAATGACAAGAAAGAAAAAATAAATTATAGTGTAACTGTCAAGGGGGAAGAAGGGAACTGTGTAGCCTGGAACTTACAATGAAGTTGGGGGGTTTTTAGGACTGCTGTAAAAGTCAGAAGGAACATTTTAAGGAAACCTGCAGTTCATTCTAGAATGTGAATGTAATCTGGAAGGAAAGGATTAATAGATAAGGTTGGGGTAGTCCAAAATAAAATTATTTTGGGGCTAATATCTGGGGCTGATTATTCAACAAAGGGGAAAAAAAATCAAATAGGGTGACTGGAAGTGAGGAATTGGAGGAAAATAGCTGAAGACTTACCAAAATCATATAGTATACTTTTTATTGGCTTTATAACTTTCTGAAGCTAAACTTGTTACAAAGGGAAACAGGAGAGACTCACAGTTAGCCAACTATGTTGAAATTGCTGTGACAAGGATCCTTGAGAACACAAAGCATCATTTCGGTGGAAAACAGAACTCTTAATTGTGATGCTTTGCAAGGCATGAGGGTAAAAGTTGGGAAGAGGATATATGGGGTTGCAATAACGCCAAGGTGAATTTTGGACTAAAAGGAAATTGATACTTGTGGCAAGATCAGACTTAGAATCCCATCAATAGGAGGAAGACATTAACGAACTGGATTTAATGCAGGGACGAGCAGTGAAATAACTGAGGCTGGAAGGATTAAGTTGGGAAGGTAGTGTGTTAATAAGCAACAATAGTAAACTTAGCAGCTTGGGTAAACTAATAAAAGGGTGAAGGGTTGTGTTCAGTATTTAAAAAGAGTAAATGCACAGAACCATGGTCATAAGTAAGAGCAACAGATGAATGTTTAAACTGAATATCAGGAAAATGTCGCAAATATTATTTCGAACAGGCTTAGTCTCCCAGAGGTGGTGGGAGATGCTCAGGAGTTGGGCTTGATTTCTCTGAGCTCTTTTTGTGTGTGTTTTAGCAGACTCTGAACTCTGTTGTTAAAGTTCTTGCAGCATCAAGAGGTTTGTCTTCTACAGAGGCAGGCCTTGCTCTGACTGATGGGAGATAAATATAAGCAGGGCAAATACTAGGATGTATTTCTTTAAAGAAGAAATATCAGAGGAAGGGATCCTGTGCTGGTCAGGAGAATGAAAGAAAATCAGCTGTATCTCTAAAAACTGCTGCTCATTGGACTTCTCCTCCTTTCCAAAATTTCTGCGGAAATGTGTGGATTAGTCTAGAAATCTGAGGCATTGAAGTAATTTTTCTGTGCTTGGACATGATAATTAGTTATTTGTCCAAGTGCCTCAATGTTTTGTAGCATGTAGAAACCTCCTGGTTAGGGGCTGTTCGGTAAAATGTGAGCACGAGATGTTTCAGGCAACTCTGTATTGCTCCACAGAGCCAACACAGAGCAGATGTTACCTTGCTCAGGACCTGCCAAATAATTTTGGATTCCAAGGTATAAACCCCTCTGTTCTCCCACCGTGTGTATATCTTTGTGGTAGCCTGTTCGCCTTGCTGGATCAGTGCCATTTGACCCTCCTCTGCCCAAGATGCTGCTTTGTGAAGGTGTACAAAAGAATGTGCTAATGTAGCGATGGCATTAGTATGAACTGGATTTGATGCTGTCTTCAGGGGGCTTGTTTCTGGATTAATGTGTCTCAGAGGGTTCCTGGTTAAGTCAAAAGAGATGATTAGAGCAGTAGTTCTTTTGCTTTTGTACTTGATCAAAGGTGATGGTAGCAGGAACTTTACTGGTGTTTTCTTTGCTCATGGTTATATAGTTTAAATGAAGGCTCTGGTTGTTGCCGGGATAACCTTCCCTACGTTTATGCTGGTGGGCAAAGTCTTCAGTGTATTTATTGCTCTTGCATGAGCGTGCCTGCTGCCTGCATCCGTAGGATCGTTTCCTGTAGTTTTCCCATTGCCGCATGCTGTGGACTGCGCACTGTGCTATGGCATTCACCAAATAAACTCTTCCATAAGTTATGGGAAGAAGTGTTTTGCAGCTATAGTAGAAGCTTATTGACTCTTCTGCTGCCATTATATGAATTATATATGTTTTAAAATAAAGTAGTTCTATCAGGGGAAGGGATTGGGGTTGTTATGCCCTGAGGAGAGAGTTAACAAGTTGGAAAGGAGCCTCCAGAGGCATAACTTGGGCCTGAAATTTGAATATGTTGAGAGTAGGATTATGGATGTTGGAGCGGGTGTTGTGTTTTGTTCAGGCTCTGTATGAATTCGTGCATGAAACTGGGAGATCTGTCGGGGGGTTGAGTAAGCTCTCACTGTCATTGGGGACATAGGAGGAAGTTCTTCCAATGTTTGGGATTAATCACGGGTTGCAGACATGCGTTCATGCAAGTTATGTCTGGTACCATAGTGGCTAAGAAATTCCTGAAATCAGAAATTAAAGGGGGAAGAAACCCCAACCCTCCCAAAATTTTAAATCTGCAGGCCAATTTTGTAGAGCTTCCCATGTTTCCAACCACCATCTCCTCACTTTATGTTCCACTAATAATGAAAACAGCATTGCTTGTAAAGCAGACGGGTTGAAATATGACATTGTGCTTTTAGCTTGTAACTGTTTTCTTTCCTTCCCCAAACTACAATAGGAGCATGGAAAAACTCAATAGAAGAATGGACAGCAGAAGACTGGAATGAAGATGTAAGTGTACCTTGTTGGATAGAGCGATTGATTTTTTTATTTTTTTTTTTTTTACCCTTTTCAGAGTTTCTGTGTTGTCTTCAAAAACTAAATGTTTGAAGTAATACTTTGCTGTATGCATGCAATGATATTTCTTACTGTGTTTCTTGCTGTAATTCCTGTTTAAAATATACATATATTTAGATAAGCTTATTTTTTAAATAAAATTGAATCAAGAAATATTAATTTATTTTGCTGGGTGGACAATACATAGATAATAATATTTAAAGTTTTATCCCAAATTAAGCATTTATAGTTCTCCACTGCTCAATGCTGATGAGTGTTAACTGCATACTTCCCGCTACTATTGTGTAGGGATTTAAAGTCATATTATCACAAGACTTCTGTGTAATTAAGTGCTGAAGCTTACTATCAGCTTTAGACTCATCATTTGATGCTTTCTGTTTGAAATCTGCATAATTGTTCTGCTTAGTCCACTTCACATTCATAATATTAAAAGAAGGAGCTAGTAGTATGCTGAAATTAGCACTTAATTGCTTTATTCCTGTTAGAATCATAGAATCATAGAATGCTTTGGGTTGGAAGGGACCTTTAGAGGTCATCCAGCCCAACCCCCCTGCAGTGAGCAGGGACATCTCTAACCAGAGCAGGGTGCTCAGAGCCCCGTCCAACCTGGCCTGGGATGTTTCCAGGGATGGGGCCTCCACTGCCTCTCTGGGCAACCTGTGCCAGTGCCTCACCACCCTCATTGTAAAAAGTTTCTTCCTTATATCCAGTCTAAATCTATTCTTCTTTAGTTTAAAACCATTACTCCTTGTGCTGTCACAACAGGCCTTGCTAAAAAGATTGTCCCCATGCTTCCTGTAGGCCCCCTTTAAGCACTGAAAGGCCACAATAAGGTCTCCTCGCAGCCTTCTCTTCTCCAGGCTGAACAACCCCAACTCTCTCAGCCTGGCCTCGTAGGAGAGGGGCTGCAGCCCTCGGATCTGTTTCATCATGTTGTGTTGTCTAAAGTACTACAGCAATTTTGGTTCGTGTTCTTTATCAGGCAAGAGATGTCTTCATGTCTGCAAAATATTTGGCATTTGTCATCATGATTTGTGAAAATCGCATTTGTGATTTTAAGTTTTCAGTTATTGTATTAAAACTTAAGCAGTTCAGAAAACAAACGAAGTAGCAAGAAATATGGAAACAAAAACTTAACTTTTAAGAAGTTTTTCATCTTTTATAGGAATATCCATTATTTCAAGTTTATTTTCAGAAGAGTAAGAGATTGTCTCAGAAGTCATCCCTTTTGCCGCCTCCTGTAGGGTGGCATGTCAGTGTAATCCCTAGAGATGTGTGAATGTGTCGTATTACAGATATGAAAACTCTGTCCTTACCTAATGAGAGGGCTGTGTCTTTTGAGAAAATTAAAAGAAACTCTTAAAATTCCTACGTTTTCTCTATCAGTTACTGGCATTGAAAGCTGGCATGTTTTTTAAACCTGTCCTCTGTTTCTACGGTATATGCTAGAGGTGACTAAGGGCTAAGGACAGTGAAAATTTCTGGCCTTATTTCTCACCCCTGTTTGCTGAAGCAATACAGCATTTGTAGTATGGGAGGAGTGTTGAGCAATGCTGACTAGGGATAGAATTTTTAAAAATTAATTATTCAACCTGAGTAATTTGCACATGAATCCTGGAAGAGCAGCAAATGAAATCTCTAGCCTGTTGTTAATTTTTTTCAATTTTAGAGTACTGGAAAAATCCCTGTAACCTAAGAGAAGGTTGTTCATGAGCTGATGTTCAGAAAGAGTCACTGAAATGGTGAGCTGCAGACACATTAGCCCCAAACATGCCTGGGGAAAATATAAAGGAAAAATTGATTCGTCTGATTTAAAAAAAAATAGAAGTGTAAGAACACGGCTTGTGCCATTCAGTGTTGTTTTATGGAAAATATGTCCACTTCAAATGAACCTGATCTTGGTCTTTAAGTAAATCACAAGTTAACTGTGAAGATAGAGTATGTCCTTGTAAGAGATTTCATCTACATCTTTTGTTCTAAAAATAATTACATGCTATCATGAAACACATTAAGTGGATTAAAATCTGCCTTGCAAATTTTGGCAAATAAATCTTTTGCAGGAGGACTCTTATTGAACGTGGACATTTCTAGGAGGGCTGTAAAGGAATCCAGTCCCAGGCCAGATGCCATCTAGTGTCTTTATCAATGATTTGGAAGTAAAAATAGAATCACTGCTGAATAAAATGTGTAGGAAATAAAAAAAATATTGGAAAGGCAATTAAAAGTAAGCCATTCACGCAGAGAAATCTGGACCTCTGCTAAACTTGACCTGCTAAAATGAAAAATGTTTTAATATAGCCAAGTGCCCATGTGTTTTATAGGAATAAAGGCACACCTCCAGAACAAGGGTCTGTTTTCTGGAAAGCAGCAACTGAAAAATTTTCAGGATTGTAGTGGATGATGAAAAAAGAACAGCTCAGCATGATCTCCTAAAGGGCTGATGTGGCAAAAAAAGCTGTTGTAGTCTTTTTGCCTGTAGGCACTCTTCCCTGTCTCTTAATTGTTCTTGATTTATATCTGTATGTGGACTCTCCTGAACTTGATTCTGAAGTACTGCATCCAATTATTCATTGCTTTTACAAAACAAAAGTTGTGGAAAATAGCTGAAAATTATTTACTGATAGAAGATGTCCTTGAGAGTGAGACTTCTAGTTTACTGAATCTGAAAAGGTTATTTTATTAGCATATAATGGGCTCTGGTTTTAGTCTGGCAGACAAATGCATAATATGAACCTGTGGCTGGAAAATGGAGCTGTGCATTTAAATGTATAATAAACAATTCTAGCTGCATGACTAATGATTAAAACAACCAAGGAAGCTGATGTATATGCTGTCTGCAGAAAAAGACCAGGTGTTTTTCTGAAGAATATTTTTGTTTAAATGTGTTATTCTCTAGTCAGATACAAGTTACAAGCAGGTGAGTGAAATTCAGTGTTGTTTGACCTGAGAAGGATTAGATTTTTGTGATCTAATAGTCCTGTCTGGTATTTATCTTTAGTAGTGAGTATTAAGCAAGTATAGTAGGTTGTCAGCATGCTCTTAAATATAGTGGAAACTAGTTGCAGTAGAAATACGAGGTTGTATTTTGTTAAAGGGATATTCAGGGCATGGACAATGAAGGACCAGACAAAAGTTGAGGTACTGTAGATAGCTCTGGGTTTTTCTGTTGAAAATGTGTTCATACTCTCCTGGGTAAAGAAAATAAAGTTTAGCTACAGAAACTATCAGAAGGGCAAAACCAGAATACATACAAATTGCTGGAAAGTGGATGAAGGCAAACATTTTCTGTAGTCGTAGTTTTTATTTGAAACAACAGCAACACTTTAAAAAGAAAAAAAGGAAAAAAGTGTGTTTTGGTGAAAGTGTTTCCTTTACTAGGAAACAGCATGAGACTTGTTTTATTTTCTTTAGGACATCATATCAAAACAGTAAGAAGGTTTTCTTATTTCTGATTTGTTGATGTTGAGTTTTTATGAGGATGCTGTTCTTCTCACCTATCAACTGGCCATAGGAGCTGGTAGCTAGTTGTTAAATATATTGTCTGGTGATTGGAGAATGATTTTTGTCATAGGAACAGGAGCTGGAGAGCACAGGGATTTCACTGCAGATGGACAAATACCCTTGTGAGGCTGACGTTTGCAAATGGTTCATGACCATGCATTCAGTTCTGGGAAAATGCCAGAGCCTCAGTGAAAGACTTTTGAGTGTAGTGTACAGTGAGCGTAAATAACGTCATCAGGAGCCAATAATACTACTTCTAAGAAATACTAAATACATCTGCATAATAAAACTTTTCAGCTGCTGCTGCACGAAGTCTGTGTTTTGACAAATGCTGTAATCACAGGAGACTTCTGAGTTGGGTGGTTGATTGGAGCTTGTGGCAGTGAGTTTGCCACAGGGTGTAGCAAAACTTCCATGTAGCTAAGCCAGTAGCTGGAGACTTTCATTTTGCGTCCTGGTTCACTTGAAGAGAACATTTCCTCTCTCATGGTGCAAGCATGCTTTTGCATTGTCACAAACATCTTTAGGCTCCTCAATTTGCTTAGTTTTCAGTGCTTATTCTTCAGTGTTTTGGCCACAGTTAGTCTTATCCTGCCTTATGTGAGCATAAGAAACTGTTGACATTACAAAGAATTTAATATTTAACCAAGGGATTGCAGACTATAGGCTGCTGCTTGTGCCATTAGCTGACCTCTTTGTGCCATATAATACAGGAGTCTCATAAAACTACAAAAAGCAGAGTACGTGTTGTTCTAAAATAACACGTACAGTGGGGAAAGGGCTGAACAATAGAGAAACAGCCTTTTTAACTGGAAATATGCTTGAGCTGAATCTTCTTTCTTCGTTTTGGTCAGTACATAGAGTTGCGGGCTGGCAGCATTATGTACCAGTCAGAGTTGTGTTCCAGAAGATGGGATTAAAGAACACTGTATTGGCAGCCAGGGAAGGGAAGGAAATGGAGAGAGGAACTGTGGTGGTACTCATTTTTTCATGACACAGTGTGTTGAACATAAGTGGGTGCTAGGAGAGTACATGAAACATTTGAACTTTGCCTCTGAGTGGTAAGTGATTGCTGCCAGTCA